GTAAGAGAGTAGTGAATTTTTCCACACAAAAAGTAAGACTGTAGTGTAGAAAGCAGCCGAGGCTCACCTTGTGTCCTAAAGCGAGGTGCTTTCCGTACTGAAAAGCCAAATTCTGAGCCTCAGCTCCATGTTTGGCCAGCTTCATCGCTGCTTGGCAACTCTTTGCAAGCAAGGCACCATGGGAAAGGAATGCTTGGTCTTCCCAAGAAGAAATTGTTAGACTGCCCTGCTTTAATGTTCAGAAAAAAAACATGACAATTTTTAATGTTTTATCTATTATTAATTTAAATGCAGCTGTATTTTGTTCGAAAAATGCTAATTATTGCCAGCTTTAAAGAAATGATTCAAGCAAAAAATGCAAAATGTATAGATTTCAATGGATCATCAACGGGAATTTTTCCAAATTTTGTATTTTTCATGAAGGTCAAATATTATGCTAGATTGAAGAATTTTAAATCATTTTAGAAGAATCGTTTAGAAGAAAATGGCATCAGTTTATTACTCTGATAATCCTTTAAAAGTAGTTAAAATTATTTTATTTACAATTAAATATTGTATAACTACAATGCTGCTTAAATTGTTTCATCACTTCTTAAACATGAGCATATATGGAATTCATTTTGTGCCAATAAACCATATGCAATTTTAGCTAAAACAGACAAAAATAAATTGATATCAAAGAAAACAAGTCAACCAGAAAACAAAAATAATCAAGTAATTACATTAAAAAAAAAAAAATTTAAATGCATTCTTTGCTAGTTTCAATTTCAGCTGCAGTTTCGCACCTCATTTTCGATTCTGCATCCAACGTTTTCCTTTGTGATCCTGAAAGTTAAGTTTGTCATTCTGGCAAAAAATCTCACATGGGGTGGGGATAACAGTGGTTCACACTCATTGGCTTGTATAAATTTGATTGGCAGCTCAAAGAACCGGATGTACAAGTATCTCCTGTTTTTTTTTTCTTTAGCAATTTATTTTTGTTTGTTTTAGCTGAAATTGCGGGGTTTTTTTCCATTGGCACAAAATGAATTCCATAAACATACTTCCATAGTTCAGGACTCTTTAGGTCTGTGGTGCAGAAAACAAAAAAATTTAATAATTAAGTCTATTAAGTTTAAATAATTGATCTATCGAAACAATTCGATGCAATTTTTTAGCTCCAAATTTTTAGCTCCACCTCTGCAACAGTGCAAAGTTTCTTGCTAAGTTGTTAACATCATTTGCTAGCATTCCGCTAGCAACATGAAGAAAACGAGTTCAACCCCAGGGACAGGCAAGTCACATTAAAAACATCTGGCAAATGCTTGAAAGGAAATGTAATTCTCAGTGGTATTTTAAGCTAGTGGAAGCTATGGAGAACAACTTTGTCACAAAGTGATAGGCCACCTAAAATGCCGCCAGTCAAACTAAAGCGTTACTGAGTCCTATTTGATCCCATTGTGTTTACATTTGGAATCTTGCAACTATTGCTTGTTTTTAAACATTGTTGATGTGTGTAATACAATAGACCAATGCATCTACATTTTTAAATATATATATGGTCTGTCTCCCAGTTGTATGCAATAGAGCAGTGGACATCTTACCTCTGCCAAAGTAGAGCTCTCATGATAGATTCCCTGCACCACATCCCCAATAGCACTGGAAATCAGCTCCACCACCTGTGAACACCAAAAAACTCTAACAGCATAATACTTTAGGGGACAAAATTACTTTGCAGCTAAATAAGAGCATTTCTGACTGAGAGTTCTGATGGTTTGAGGCCAATCTGTTCTGAAATGAGACTTTTATGAGTACATCAGCTGTTTGGGATTTTTTTCCAGTTCACTCGTTCTAAAGAGCTTTAGAGGGACAGGTATAATAACCAGTACAACCTCCAGTTAACAAACAGATGTTGAGAGAACATAGAACTTAAAGAAGTCTGAAACGTCTGCACAACTAACAATTTGAGTAAAATTAAAGATTTTATGATCCGAGTTTATTTATTATTAACCTTAATTTCATGTTAAATACGTGATCAATGAAACTCATCTTTTGAAATGTTTGCAACTGATAAAATTCATACTTTTTAAAGGGGGGGGGGTGTACTCAATTTTGCTGAGCACTTTATATCTGGGGGTGTGCTGTTTTTTGGTGTGAAGACGAGCACAGCAGTCAGTATCTACCAGAAAAAACAAACCAGCAGTGGATGAAGGGGACATTTCAAGATGTTCTTAAAGCTTTTTTTCTTAACACATTGTATAATACCACGGACAAATTTGACTTTACGATGTATTTTCATAAATACTCTCAAGTAATTCAGATAAACTATTTGGAACATGCAGTACATATTATGCTCCTGAGGAGGGCGCTACTCTGTCACATCCTCTCCATGGCAGAGAGCTGGAGAAAGCCACTGACAGCTCCATCTTTCATCTAATCACTCTTCCCCATCTCATCAATCCATCGCCCTGGGCTACACCGTCCACCTCTTTTTCACCCTCCGTCGCTCTCTCTCCACTAGTCCCAAAAGAGCTGGCTGCTGAACCTGAAGTGTACAAGCCGAACAGCAGAGGCCTTCCCTCCAGACACTTGGTTATTCGTCTCATTTTAGATCAAATTTCTCCTCTACGTTCCCCAAACTTTTGCTCAAAAACTTTGTTTTTCTCACTCTTTCCTTCACTCTGTCTCTCTCTGCCCTCTGAGTAACCAGATCTTGAGGAAACAGTGAGGAACCTGACTCCTCTACCCAGAGCCTGAAGAAGACAGAGAGCCCCTATAGTGCAGCCAGATGTGCGGCTTCACACACCAAGAAATTAAACAAACGTGTGTACTTGAGAGAAAAAGAGAGGTAGAGAATGCAAATGCCGATGTGTTTGTGTGTGTCTGACTTTCAAGCAAGTGTGTATAAAGGACTGGGGGGGCTTTTTTTGGAAAGTATCAGATAAACTGCCCTCCCTTCGTCTCGTCTCATTCCCAAATCCAGCCAGGGTCGTGTTTCGCCGACAGGTCTGTGAGGAGAAGAAAGAGGAGACAGCAGCTTGCGGATCCCTTTACCGTTTATACTAGTGCCGAGCCAGAATCCCACTCACACACACACACACGTCAGTATCCCACTCAAGGCCACGATATATAATACAGATCAATCAAGAGAAAGTGATTTGCTGTGGAGAGAGAACGTCTGATTTCCAGCACTAATGCCCTCACGCTAGCTGAACAGAACCTCGAATGCTAATGCAACTCTGTCTCACCCTCATTTAAATAAATGGCAGTTTAAAGATGGAGAAACGTTCTGGCTGGCTGACTGTCCATTACGTAAAACATAGAACGCTTAAAAACACTTTAATGGATTATTGTTAATGATAATTACATCTACTAAAAGTTCAAATGGCAGCAGAGGAGCTTGATTTTTGATTGGCTTGAAATCCTGTCTGCCAGTCTCTCCTCCACTGGTTCAGAACAGAGTGCGTGTGGCTTTAAAAGAACGGTTCACTGCTCAACAGGTTCGGTTTCACTCAGAAAGGATATTCCTCAAGCTCTCGTAGCCTAAAACAAGGGTTCAAAATGACCTTCTGTCCTCAGCTGTTCATGGAGTGAATTCACAGTTTACGAGACCAGACGCAAAAGAAAAAAAATCCAGACAAAATGTGTCTGTCTGACTGTCTGTATATCACTCAGTGATCACTGTATTGCAGAAACAACAAAGCACTAGCTTGTACAAGCAGCCAGATGGTTTTTTAAAACCAAAGAAATTTTAGGGTTTCAAGAAAATAGAAAAAGTAAAAATTACATTTGAAAAATATCTTAAATATTTAGGTTTCCACTTAAAAAAAAAAGCAACAATATTTTTTTTAATTAAATAGTGGAAATGTCATGTTTGATATTTAAATATACAGATGTATCTGAATTTTAATAATTAAAAAAAAACAGTCTCCAAAAACTTTGCCTGAAAATTCAATCTCAAAGGTCGCGTGCAGAGCAAGGCGAGCAGCGACAGGGCTCCACGATCCCATTCATTTTTAAATGGGGACTGGCAACAAGAGCACAAGAAAACGCTGGTAACAGCTTGTGGGCATGTCCAGTGATGATCGACTAAAGTTAAAAAAAATGGTGCCTATCTTCAGCACACATTGGGCGAAAGGCAGAGGTACACCCTGGACAGGTCGCCAGTCCATTGCAGGGTAACATTTACCCACACATTTACACCTAAGGGGAATTTGGCTCATCCAATTAACCTAACCACATGTTTTTGGGATTGTGGGGGAAACTAAAGTACTTGGACGAAGCCCACGCCAGCACGGGGAGAACATGCAAACTCCTTACAGGAAGGTCACCAGTGAGCTGGCATCCTTCTAACTGGAAGGCCACAGTGGTACCCACTGTACCACCTGTTTAACTTTATGCTAATGAGAATTGATCATCGCAAGTGATCATTCCACGTGATTCCTCAACTGCTGAAATCTGACTATCAGGCTCCACCATCCAGTTAGACTGGCCCTGTGTTTACAGTCGCAAGGTAAAAGCACACGCAGGTTCCTTGTTCACGTCTGCGCATAGTTTGATCATTACAGTGTTTATATACAGATGTACGTTTCCCTTGTAATTTTATGTGGGAAAATAGCGGATTTATTTTTGAAAACATACATCAAATTGCTTGTCAACCATTAACTGACAAGCGACTAAACAGTGGTACGCCAATCAGCAATGGCTCTGCTAATCTTTCGTTTTCTCTTTTGGTCTGCATGATGCGTTAGTACTAGTGGGGAAGGCTGCTAACTACACATGTGCCCAGAAGACAGTCACTGGCACCCTTCCAAAAGGTGGGTAAAGGCTACCCTTGTACATTTATCCTTCTGTGCTTTGTCTGCGTATCTCTGCAATAGCACATCCTAAATGCTCTTCATTCATATTTTGATTTCCAGCTCCAGATGTGATTAAATCTTTGTACTCCTCTGATGGACACTTCTGCAGTTATATTTCTGCATTCCTTCAATAAATTGTGGTTTGCTTTCGCTTCAGATATAGCTTTCCTGTGGCTAAGTAAGAAGAGCATTATGCTAGTAACGCCAAAGGTTGTGGGTTCAAACCCCATGGAAAGCAATAACTGAAAATGTGTTCATTCCATGAAATGTAAGTAGCTCTGGATAAAAGCATCTACTAAATGCATAAATGTAAATGGAGATATTTGACACGTCTGTATTTTGAAAACTTTGATGGCCATAAACAGTTTAACGAAATCAAAAACCTACCAATTTAGCATACCATATGCATTAAGGTAAGACTAGTGGAGTTTGGAGATGAACATATTAGTTTGACAAGTTCCTATCAAGTTTGGAAACACATCTACAGTGGTACCCAGAGATATGAATGCTTCGAGTCACGAAATGTTCGAGATACGAAACGTCTTCCAAAAAATTTTTAGCTTAGAGATCCGAAGAAAAATTCAAGATATGAACATTTACAAGCTGTTCTGCTTGACGTCATGCTGCGCTTCCGGGTACTTGCGCTACTGTCTCCCATTGCAAAAAGGGTCTGATGCGCTTCAAAACACAGCGAAACATTATGTATGGTTTACCAATAATGTGCTATAACAAATGTTAGAGTCAAGGAGTCGTAAAAGAAATAATGTTTATAACGTGGAAAGTGCTGTTCTGTAGCGCAACTTAGAGAAACACAATCACGCGTTCTCAGAAGCGTCTCTCGATCTCACATACTCTGTTTTCTCTCTGCTTGAGCTTGAAATCGTGTTTGTGTTAGTAATTTGTGAGAATTTTGAGAATGTCAACTGTAATGTCTTCCGTCACCTGTTCCACCTCCTCCGACACATTGCTTCACTCAAGGCAAGGTTTCACATTTATTTACATGTTACGTATTTTGCATGTGCTTTATTCTTTTTTATTATCATTTATTTCTCGCCCAATGTGTGCTGGAGATAGGCACCGGCAGACCCCCGTGACCCCGAAAGGGAAGAAGCGGGTATGAAAATGAATGAATGAATTATCATTTATTACATTAACAATGTGTAGGTTTAAGGATTGAAGAAACGTTACTTGATTTTCCTCTGGTTTTTTTCATCTACTTATACTGTTGTTTCTGAGAGCCGTTGCACGGATTAGGCGTCTTACATGTAAAACTTGCTTCGAGATACAAAATGTTCGACATGCGAAGGTCACCCTGGAACCAATTTATTTGGTATCTTGGGATACCACTGTATATTACTTATTTTTATGTGTTGGTACACTACACTGTTATGCTGAATTGAATTTGCATACAACACTGTTAGAGCACCATAAACTGAAACACATTAGTTGGCACTAACTACCGTATTTTTCGCCGTATAAGACGCACCAGTATATAAGACGCACCCTATTTTAAATGAGGAAGATCTAGAAAAAAAAAAGATTCTGAACCAAATACTGTAGTAAAATATTTAATATCAACAGTAAACAGTAAAAGTAACAAAAAAGGCTGTAATGTTTTTCATACCTGCTCCTTACGATCCGCGCTATGGTAGGATCGAAAGGCAGAGATGGGCGATGACGTCAGCGCGCACCGCGGGTGTACAAATATGGCCGGAGTGTGATGGGTTTTTCCTATATAATACTACCATCTTGTAGTCATTTAGAGAAATGTAATTTGAAAAACTTTTAAGAGCACACGTCATACTTCAGTCCCGCCCTTCTTCCAGCGCTTGTCTTACTTTGAGAGGCTCGAGGTTCTTCTTCCAATGCGGATAACATGTGTGTAGGAAATGCATTGAGACTGCTAAATCTTTACAATAAATAGCTGCATTTGCTGTGTTCTCTCTCAAACGGTCTCCAGTGTTTATTATCAATTGAGAAGGTATATTTTTTACCATAACAGGAGCTAGGCTGAAGCCGCGGCCTCTCTTACGCCTCTCCTAGGGCCGTGACCGCCCTCCGCTCCGCGGCGCTCTGCATTCGCCGTATAAGAAGCACCAACTTTTCCCCCTCAGTTTTGGGGAAGAAAAAGTGTGTCTTATACGTAGTCTTTTCTGTAAATGCTCTACATTTTCATCAGTTCTGATGCATGTGCAAACTTTAGTGACTTTTCGTTACACCCGCAAAACTGAAGGGTAAATTGAGCAATTATAATGCGCTTCTACGCACCTACAGTGTTCAAGCTCTTAAATTACACAGTAAATGAAATTCATGTTTATGGACTGTGGAAGTAAACCAAAGAAACAGAAGGAAACTTTCACAGTCAAAGAATACGTAAAACAAATATCTCAGAGACCTGTTCATGTTGGCACTCAAATTAAGTACTGTACATACTTCCTGATGGCCAACACTTCCAACCGATACTTCATTTCGCTATTGCTGTATAATACAAAACTATTACAAAAATAGAAATCAGAATTCAGAAAAACAGTCTGCAAAGCAGAGTTCAAACAATTTTTCACAGGACACCCATGAGCACAAAGAATTTTCACCAAGTACCAGGAGGAGGAGCTCTAGAACACACCAAACAAACTCCTGGGTGACTGTGTAATGCCACACCAGCTTCCTGAACAGAGTGTGTGAGCACAGACACAACGTCAGGGCAGGTGTGAATCCAGCTCTGTCTGGCTGTCTATATCCGGAGTTCCTCTTGAGAAAACCACAAACACTTGCAGAATCTGTTCTTACTATTAGCAACCACAATCTACTGATCATCTAAATCCCCTGCAGACATTTCCACGTCCACTTCATGCAGCATTCAAGAAAGCTGGAGTGGGAGTGTGTGTATGCATTCGAGGTTCTGCAGAAGGAAAAGAGTTAGTTTTCCTCCACAGGGAGAGCTGCATTCTAGAGCCGCAGCTGGTGACAGATCCTGTCAGCGGAGTCCAGCCGACTGCTCCTCGGAGCAACTGTGTGTTTAGCGCGCACACAAAGAGACACAAAACATTTAGAGTATCTAAGTGTTTAGGGGAAATCTTTTATATTAATTAGATTACTTTTAGTTTGAGCACATAAAGTTCAATTAAAGAACTTTTATATAAAAGATACAGAATCTAATTTTTTTAGAATTTAAATGGACAAATTGTTACAAAAAAAGTTAAAAGCTAAATAAGTAGATATTTGATTCTGTAACTGCTGCATAGCACAAAAAGAGATTTTCTAACAAGTAAAAAACTGTAACGTATAAAATCTAACTCAGATATGAATCTAACTGAGAAATTGTAAAATTGATTTATTTTAATAATTGATCCTTCAATTGTTTTATGGTGTGCCTTTTTAACCCCTTTTTAACACCTTCAACCATCTTATTTATTATTTTCAGGTTAGTCAAAGTAAAATCTTCCTTAACTTTAAAGTACTGCAATTTTGTGGTCTAAGTCTTACAATCTTATAAAAAAAATGTTAACAGGCAGTGTTTTTAATCAATTAATTTTCATAAAATTTAAAAAAGAAAACATTACTCAACCAAAGAAGAATAAAATGGAGTTCTCTAGGATCTGCTCAATACAGGAGTACTTTTCAGTTTTCCTTCAAGCGGCCCTCAGCTATGGACTTCCAAACCTGAGACTATGCTGGTACAAGAGTCTGAAGAGGAGTGTTGGGTGCTGGTTTTAGTAACATGATTTTTGTAATTTGTTCTGTGACTTCTAGGGAAATCCCTAGACAAAGTGCCAGTTAAAGTCAAGAACTCTTTGCAAACTCTTGTAACCTCTTGAGAGTCCATTTAGGGCCAACCGCCAACTGTGTAAGCTCAGGAGTCATGGCCGCTAGTTACCTTTCTGTAACCTCTTGATTTATATTTTGGATTTCAAATGTCCATCAAGTGCTTACTCATCCCCTCATGGGTCGTCCAATATATATATATATATATATATATATGTAATCCAAGTAATAATACATTTTTAATTTAAAAATTATGTTTATTTCAAGGGCCAAAATATCATGGCTCAATTTATCGCAATGCAAAATTGTCACAATATGTATCTTGGAATTATATAGCCTAGGATATATTGCCTAGGAATTTAAGTCTTTGGTTGATTGGTGTCTTTGGTGTTTCTAGTCACTTCTTAAAGGGCCATGAGTCCCGCCTGTGTAGAGTAAGTTGGGGTGTGGCTTGGTGGAATATCGAAAGATAAGTGCTTTGTAACAGCTGATAAAACGCACACATACCTGCACTGAAGTTGGATCAGACACACAACGCAAACGCAACGCAAACGTAAACTCCCTATTCTTCAGTTCTTGTAGCTTTATCAATAATAATGCTTGTTACAAATCCATAGTTTAGGCATGTCGTTGTTGGTGACCAGGTAAGAAGGTGGATGGAAGCCAGGTAATTCCTGGACGTGTTAAGAGTTAGGCATCATTAATAATTAATACTGGGTTTTCTCATAGGATAATAGAGGTCAGGCTCATGAATATTTAAAATACAGATGAGTCATCGACATCGTATAGGACAAAGCCGTGTCGCTTCCTGAGAATTTTATTTTCAAACAGTCGGAAATCCCAAACAAAAGATAGAAACTAAACAGTTTTAACCACAATTAAATGTAACAGACAGATTTGTCCTAAATAATGTTAAAAACTGGAAAAACCCTGTGGCAGACAAAATTTGTAATCGTTGACATGGCTTAATTTACCTGACGATATACGTTTTATTAATTCACTATTTATATAATTAAATGCAACCCATAGTTCAAGTGAAATTATTCTTTTTTTATATTTATCCTTTCACATTTTCAAGCTCCCTGTGCGCTTCAGATAAACTCTCATTTGCATGATGTATGAAGTTACTGACCACTTAAAGCAGTAGAATGATAATTTATGACGGTTAGAACCTACTCTCAGAAACACTGAGCCTTTCAGTAAGGTACCCAAGATAATCTAGGCAGGGTAACGGTGCTACGATAGGTCCTGATTTATTCTGCCATCACATCACTTGTCTCTGCTGACTGTTTTCATGTCATCTGGATCTGTCCGAGGAAGAAGCTCTGGTGAGCAACTCAAACTGTGAGCAAGCTCATGTGCCACCAGTGCTGCTTTGACTGCGGCTCTAATTAGAGCCGGAGGAGAACACTGGCACTTAATGAGGGGTGTAGGAGACATATGCTCACATGCCAACCCAGTGTGCGTGCGTGTGTG